CTGTCCCTCTGTCCCTCCCTGTCCCTCTGTCCCTCTGTCCCTCTGTCCCCTCACCTGCCCCGCGCTGCCCTCATGGCCCCGCTCAGCGCCATCGCTGCCCTCCGCCAAGCCCCGCCCACCGCGGCACGCCATTGGGCAAACCCACCGAGTGGGCGTGGCTACCCACGGTGAAATCCCGCACCGGCCTCAGCGCCCTGGCCCGATAACGCATGCTATTGGTCAATACACAGAGATAGGCGGGGCTAACGGTGAATCGCGGCCTCTGATTGGTTAATGTGCAAACACGGCGGCGCCCTCCGTGAAGCCGCGCGGAGCGAGGTCCCGCCCGGCCCCTCGGGTCCCTCTGCCCGCGGCCCGCGGGCTCGTCCCGGTGGCGAACACGAGTCGCTGTTGAAATTCTTATAAAATTTAATATCTATTTATCTTTAAATAAAATGTCTTCATTTTATAAAAGTTTATTCAGGGGTGAAATCCAGCTCTGGGGTGCTCGGCTGTTTGCTTGATATTTTATTTTTAATTAATTTATTTATTAAAAAAATAAATAATATTAAATTAAATTATTTTAAAATAACAATACATTTATTTAATTTTATTTATTTAATTAATAACTATTTTATTAATAAACATCCATATATGCATATATATTCATACAAATATTTGTATGAATATGCATATAGATGTACTTCCTGTAATGGAACAGTCTATAGAGAACGTGGTTTAAATTAAATAAATATAAATGTATTGAATTTATATTTATATATATATAAAAATAATATCAATTAAATATTATTATGGTAAGTTTCTATTAAATAGATATAATTTATTTATGTATAAAATCGTTTCATATTTATTTAACTCAAAGCACATTCTCTATGGACTGTTCCATTATGGGGGGGACATGCATATTTATAAAAGTTTATATTAAAAGATTTCTTTGCATTTCGATGTTCTTTCGCTTGGTTTGAACCTTTGACTTGTCCTCTTGCCATCTTGTAGATCAAACCAATATATTTAATTTCCTCTTGTGGCTATATTATTATTATTATTATTATTATTATTATGCCTATCTCTGTCCTGATTCCCAAAATCTCGGCTCGGCTTCCAGCAGGGATACAGACAGGGACAGACTGGGATAAACTGGGACGGACTGGGAGAGGCTGGGGCCCAGGCAGGGATGGACAGGACCGGCCCCGGTGCCCCCGGTGCCCCCCGTTTCCCCCCGTGTCCCCCCGTGCCCCCCGTGTCCCCCGTGTCCCCCGTGTCCCCGTGTCCCCGTGTCCCCGTGTCCCCCGTGTCCCCGTGCCCCCCGTGCCAGCCGCGGCGCCAGCGGCGGGGGCATTCCCCGGTGGCACCGAGCGGCCGGGCTGGCACCGGGCCCCGGTCCCCACAAGCCGGGGGGGCTCCGAGCCTTGGGGGGGTTTGGGGGGATGGGGGGGTCACCCGAAATGTCACCGGGCGGCGCTCACCCCGCTCGGGTTACCGGGAGCGGCGGGGTGGGGGTGGCGCTGGGGGGGCACCGGGGGCACGGCGGCGGCACCGGGCACGGCGGCGGGCACGGGCGGAGCGCGGCGGGGCGGAGGGGCACGGCGAGCCGGGGCACGCACCGGGGGGACGCTCCGGTGCCGCCGCGGGCTCGCTCCGGTGCCGCCGCCGGGCGGAGCCGCCCCCCGCGATCCCCCCGGGACCCCCCCACGCGGGGCGCGGCCGGACACGCGTGGCCGAACGGGGCGTTAAAGGCGCCGGGAGCCCCGCGCTCCGCTCCGCCGCCTTTGTCCCTCCTCCTCCTCCTCCTCCTCCTCCTCCTCCTCCCGCCCGCACCGGCAGCGGCGGCGGCCCCGGCGGCGGCAGCGGCGGCCCCGGCGGCCCCGGCGGCCCCATGCACCGGCGCGCTCCGCCGCCGCCGAGCCCCGCAGCATGCCCGAGCCGCCGGCCGCGGCGCAGGACGGAGAGCGGCCCCGGCGGGCCCCGGCCGCGGAGGAGCGAGCGGAACCGGCGGCCCCCACCGGAGTGCTGGGTACGGGAACCGGCGGCTGCGGGGGGGCTGCGGGAGAACCGGGAGGGCGCACGGGGCGGGCCGGGATGCGGCTCGCTGCGGATGCGGCTCCCCGGGACCGCCCCGGGCGGGGGGGGGGGCGGTGTCGGTGCTGCCGGTGGAGCTCTGAGCATCCCCCGGTACCGGCACGGCTCCGAGCCCCCCGCCCGTGGGGGTCCCGCCTCATGGGGGGTCTGTGGCTCTCCGGTGGTCGCGGCTGATTTTGTGTCACCCCCCCCGCCCCGAGCCCCCCCGGGATGGGGCTGGCAGCGGGCTCGGTGTCCCCGCGTCACCGGTGACATCGCCACGGCCCCGGTGTCCCCCGCCCCGGGAAGGTTTTGTCCCCGGCCAGGCCCGTGCCCCCGGCCCGCGGGGGGTGGCGCAGCTGGCAGCCTTTGTGTCGCTGTCCCCACGCTGTCGCGGGGGTCTCCTCCCCCGCCGTCCCCCGCTCGGGGTCCCCGCGGCGCGGCGGGCGGCAGGGCCCGGTGGCGGCCGTGCCACCGAGCGGGGCTCCCGGCGCGGGTGGGTGACCCACTTCGTGCCCCCCCCGGGGACACCGCTCGGTCCCGGGCCGCGCCGGTCCCCGCCACGCCGCAGCTCCGGTGACCTTAGCCCGGGAGCCAAGGTGAGCGGCACGGCCGGCGGCAATCGGGGACGAGCGGGGGGGACCCGGGGGTGGCACAGGGCGCGCCGGCCCCGCCGAGCCCCGGGCGCCGCTTGGGTGGTGGCACCGCGCGTCGGGAGCGGCTGCGGGGACGGCGGGTGGCGGTCACCCCCAAACCGGGCCAGCCCGGGGGTGCTGGGGACCCCCGCTCCCCGTGACCTTGGGCAGGGAAAGCCCCCCGGGCCCGGCTCTGTGCCCCGGGGCGGGCATTGCCCCACGCGGGTGGCAGTGCCGCGGGTGCCCGCGCCGGGTGGCACCGCTGCGGGCAGGACATGAATAATGCAGCGTGGGTGAGCTCAGCCCGGCCGCGTCACCCGGCTGCCCGGCAGGGTGGCACGGCCACCGCCACCAGCGCCCTGTGGCACCGCTACCAGTGCCCTGTGCCAGCGCCACCAGCGCCCTGTGCCACTGCCTCCACCGCCACCAGTGCCCTGTGCCACCGCCACCAGCACCCTGTGCCACCGCCACCAGCGCCCTGTGCCACTGCCACCATTGCCCTGTGCCACTGCCACCA